TCTTCTTATACTACCTCTTAAGAAAAGTGATCGTGTGGAAACGGTTATAGTATGACTTGGTGAGTTATGGAAGACTCCCTTGAGTCCCTTTTGTACATTTCTGTGAAATGCTGTATGTGTGTAAATGTGTCAGGTCGTATGTTATAGTTTCAGTGTTTAGGTTCATATCCTGATGTGACACTCGAAACATTCTGACCTTTCCAATCTCATTTTTCATAATTACTTGACTTAAGGCTGTGACAAGATAACAGACAGAAGCAATTTAAGGGAGGAGGCGGTTATTTTGGCCCAGGGTCCCAGGAGATACCTGGCCAGGAAGACAGGGAAGCAGGCCCAGCAGGTGGTCATGCGGCTTCCCCAGGGGGAGCCTTCCATACACCAGTGCTCAGCTGCCCTCTGCTTTATGTTGTCTGGATCCCAGCCTGTGGAGTCAGCTGGCCAACTTCTCTGTTTAGGGTTTGCCTCGCTAAAACTCAGAGAAAGTTAAACTGAGTCTAGGATTAAACTGTGTGGTTCCTGAATTTTCAGGAAGTGACATACTGCCTCTGGTATCAAATCTGATAAATCATTAAAACTTGATAGCTTGAATGATTCTGTTGGGGCAGAAGAATTTAATTGCTGCTTTAGAGAATGGATTATTTTTTAACTGACTAAAGAATAGAGTATTTATTGGAGTTTCCTTGGTGATCTGAAAGGGAGAGGTGAGCTTCTTTTTCCTAGGCAGAAATGGGTCCAGGGTGTCATTAGCATGTGGTAAAAACTGAATAATTGAGCAAGACTGACTTCTTTGGGATTCCGCCTTTTATCTCCTCTGTGTGATTTGTTTTCTCCAACATGCAGCATGCTTGAACGGGGAGCCTGCAGAGAGGGAGGAAGAAAAACTGTTAGCAAGTCTCAGGTTCTGAGGACTTTTGATTTAATTTTATATTACACATGGTTATCAGGTTTCCCTTGGCAACCTCCAGTTTTCTGCTATTTTATAGTCATAGTAAGATAAATTACTTTGTATGCCAGTGACATCACCTGGAAATAACCTAAAAGAGACAACGAGGTCACTAAAAAGTACAGAGGAGCTGGGCATGGTGGCGCACGCCTTCAATCCCAGCTCTCAGGAGGCAGAAGTTGGCAGGTGTCTTGAGTTTTAGGCTAGCCTGGTCTACATGGTGAGGTCCAGACCGGCTAGGACTGCACAGTGGAAACTGTCTCAGAACAACAAAGTGCAGAGAGAGCTGAAGCTGTGTCGGAAAGTTTCCACAGCTCGGATTTACCAACGAGAGGGAGATTTCAGAGTTACTATAGCAGTCTGGGGATGTGAAGAAATGGATCAAAGCCTGCGGACTTTTAAGGGGGACATCTGAATTGTATTATGTAGTAATAAGGGCGGCGGGGCAGCGTCCCCAGCACCCCAGCCGCCCGAACGGCTAGCTTATGCCCGAAATAATAACACACAAACTGTATTCATTTAAACACTGCTTGGCCCATTCTCTTCTAGGCTAATTCTCACATATTAATTTAGCCCATTTCTAATCATCTGTGTATGGCACCCCAAGGTGCGCTTACCAGGAAGATTCTAGCCTATGTCCATCCTGGGTCGGAGCTTCATCCCGGGAGCGGGGCATGGCGTCTCTCTCAGGCGTCTGCTCCCGAGAGGAGAGCTGCCGAGTCTGAGCTCACTTCCTCTTCCTCCCAGCGTTCTGTTCTGTTTACTCCTCCCACCTATCCTCTAACCAATAAAATGGGCCAAGGCAGTTCCTTTATTAGCCAATGACCTTCCTCCATCATATGAGCGGCGGGGTTGTGTCCCCAGCACCCTGGCTGCCTGCTCGGCTAGCTTATGCCCCTGAAATAACAACACACAGACTGTATTCATTTAAACACTGCTTGGCCCATTCTCTTCTAGGCTAATTCTCACATATTAATTTAGCCCATTTCTAATAATCTGTGTATGGCACCCCAAGGTGCGCTTACCAGGAAGATTCTAGCCTATGTCCATCCTGGGTCGGAGCTTCATCCCAGGAGCGGGGCATGGCGTCTCTCTCAGGCGTCTGCTGCCGAGTCTGAGCTCACTTCCTCTTCCTCCCAGCATTCTGTTCTGTTTACTCCTCCCACCTATCCTCTAACCAATAAAATGGGCCAAGGCAGTTCCTTTATTAGCCAATGACCTTCCTCCATCAGTATTATCTCTAAAGTGTAGATGCGATTTCAAGTTACCAACAATTGCTCCTTGGTGGTATAGTTAGAACTTGGTCCTCTCAGTGTAATAGCTACTACTTGTTAATTGTTTATTGTTTATGTTTATAGGAGCCCTACTTGATTGAATATATATGATTTCATAAATTCTCACAGTATATCTGCAGGGCAAATATTAATATTCTCTATATTGGGGACCTCTGAGTGCCAGCCCCAGTGTCCCCTCAGGGTCCAGAAGACTCACAGCAAGCTCAGGACTGAGATCTGGGGATGAAATTAACTCTTCACTACATACTTTTCTGCATCTGTTTCTTTATTCTTCTGCTGTTCTCCTCTTATTCTGTAAAGTTTCTAGTTTATATACACGCACAAACGAAGGCAATTCTTTGAGCTTGGAGGTCCCTTTACCTTTGAAGGTCCCAAATGTGGTCTGTATGAAAGACTCCTTTCCTGACTGTATGTCCTGCCAAATGGAAGATGGTTGCAGGGAGCTGGCTCTAATGTATCTGAGGGAAGGAAGTGGAGATTAGACTGTGGGAGCCAAGATTATTGACTATGTGACTAAATTTCCCACTGGAGGTCCCACAGAGAGGGGGATGACCCGGTACTCCAGTACATGGGAAAGAGTCGTGCCCACTTGTCCATACTCTGCTGGACCTTGCACAAGGGAGAGTGCTTCAGGCGTCACAAGACATCCACTATGAGAATCAGTCGATCCGCAAAAGGTGGCTGGCCCAGCGCCTCGCCAACTGGGTTTGCCTCCATCAGAACACATTTGTTGGTGGGTCAGCCTTCTGGCGTGATCAGCTGAAATCTCACTGTATGATTCCTGTGGACCACAGCGTCTCTACAGGGAAATAAGATTATTGATCTCTTGTAGTATAAAGAAGGGTAGGACGGCGCTATTATCTAGGACTTCTCAGCTTTGGGAAATCATTATTATTTCTATAATCTTGAAGTCCCGTCAGTCTCGATAGCATTGGTTTTGAACAGGTCGCTAAGCAATGCCTATTTGGTAACCCTTGGCCATCCTGCAGTTTAAACTGCAAGGCTCTTAGTTTGTTCCCTCCCTTCAGCTGTTAGATCCATGCCGTTCACTGTGGGAAAGGGTTGAATACGTGGACGAAATGAAGGAGTCTTATCGTGCGGAGGGTGGTACTAGAGGGGGAGCAGATTCAGCAACCCACCAGGCATGCCGAGCGTGTCTTCTTAGCTAGGGAGTACCTGGTGGGCCTTGGCTTAAGTTGGGATATGCAATGTTTCTGCGTGGTCCTGAGGTTAGGAGTCTCTAGTTTCCTGCGAGGAAGGACAGGCTCTGCATATATTGTACAGCGTAACTGCTTGAGGAGGAAAGGAATTGTAAGGATGGCCATTTTGTGGCATGTGAGAGCAGAGACTGTGAGTGTTTTATTGATCCACGTGTGTTCTTGTCATGTTCACAAAACGTCAAATGCTGTGGCGGACAGAGCGTCCCTTGTTCATAAGCCGCAGTGCCGTGGACCCCGAGAGGTCCTTGTGCCACACACCCCAGTGCGAAGCATTCTGTATTGTTGTCATTGACCCCTCATTTCAGGAACGTAGCTCCATTTTAGGAAGTTTGCAATTAAACAAGAATTTTGAAAAAGTTTTCGCTAAGTGTTTACCTACGTGTATGTCTTATTCTTTCTGCGGGGTAATCTTGTTCTTTCTGCGGGGTTGAAGAGAAAACACGAGACACACGGCGGTCCCACGTGGGTAAACTTTAATGAGGGGGTGACGACAGGTGAGGGATGAGGGTGAAGAGACGGAAGGAAAAAAGGGGCGAGTTATGGCGTTCCCCGTTTTTTAAAGGGGATCCAGGTGCGTCTGGGAAAATGTCCTGCGCATGCGTGGCTCTCCGAGCTGGGATTTGTAGTGTCCTCTACTGCTTCTGGGAATTGTAGTCCAATGATCCTTCTGCGCATGTGCGGCCTCGTCTCCAAAAGGAACAGCAGTATGTATATGCATACCTGTTGCCTACAGAGGTCAGAAGAGGGCTCTGGATCCCTTGAACTAGAGAAAGTGGTTGTGAGCCACTGTGTGGGTGCTGGGAACCAGACTCGGGTCCTCTGTAAGAGCAGCCCATGTTCACAATCCCTGAGCCTTCTCTTCATCCTCCAACTCTTCGCAGGTTTTAATAATCTTTCCCAGAATGTTTTACCTAACGTAGAACTAAGTACATGAGAAGGTAAAAGAACCATCAACCCACAATAGATTCTATAATTATTACCACTGTACTGTATTTGCATTAGGATATATCTACTCTTTCATTTACCCATTCTCTGATCTGTTTAGCTTTCATTGTATTTCAGAGAGAGTCCAGGTAAACGTGCTACATTTAACTCCTGGTTATATAAACATGAACATGATGAGCCAGATAGAGTTATTAAAAAATAAAACCCACACTGTTCAGATCTATGTTTTAGAAGCTACATGTGTACTCAAGTCACTTTGGGCTGTTTGGTTTTGAGACAGGGTCTTAGGTAGCTGAGGGTGGCCTCAGACTTGTTATATAGCCAGGGCTGGCCTTGAACTCCTAATCTTCCTGCCTCTACCTCCCATTTGCTGGGGTTGTTGGTGTGTATCACAAGACTTTGAATTCCTAGACCACAGCACGTCAGCATTACAAACTGAAATCTTACCCTCTTTCTGTTTAAAGGAGCCTGAGGTCAACACATTCAATATCGACTCTTTCTAATAAGAGGAGTTTGATTAACAAATTATTTAAGCACTTTGGTGATGATGTTGAAACTTCGCTTTACTAAATACTTTTCCTTTTCTCTTCTTTCTGGGTGTTACTGAATTGCCTCCAGCATGCTGCATGGTTGCTGGTCAAACAGGAAATGGGGTAAGTAGGGAGTTTCTACCTTTATTTAAAGATGCCTACCTGATTCTTAAAGTACTTCCTGTTACAGAGTAAAGTCAGCAGCCAGAGCAGTGGGCACAGTAGGTGCTTTCGTTAAGTGCCTTGTCCATTTGGTTTTGTTTGTTTTTTACTTTTACGAGGGCTTGTTTAACGTGATTGTATTGACCAACATTAGACATGTGTCGAAAGTAGCTTGGGAGGCTAGCTTAAGATAATAAATTTTAGATTTATACTTGAAGCTAAATTATAAAACTAGATTTTACTATGAGAAGTAAAATTCTGCTTAAATCAGAGCGACTGAGTTTACAGAGAGCACCTGGGCAGCAGAAATCGGCAGTCCAGCCCTTGCCCGAAACTCTCAGGAGACAGATAGGTTTTGGAATTTAGATCTTTGGATTTTAGGAATCTAATGTGGTTTTAAATCTTATATATAATGTACACCTTTCTTAGTTAGGGTGGTGCTGTGTAATTGAATGAACTGCTTCTGTAGGGAAGGAAACACATCAGATTTGGTGAACAGTCTCACATGTCCAAATCAAGTGTATAAAAAAACTGTTAAATCTTCAGTTTTTGTTTTTTGTTTGATTTTTAAAACTAAGCATTCTGTGCCGTATGATTGATTATTGGAGGTTCCCTTGTACTTTGGTGAGAAAAACCCAGAAGACGTAGCTTTCTGTATTAGAAGCTCATCTGTGGCTCTGAGATTTATAGAAAAAATATTAACATAGTTTTTTGTTTGTTTTGTATATTATGTCTGCATCTTCCCTTTTCAAAGGAGAAATAACCACATCATCAACGGTTGCAGGCTTAGTGAAACTTAGTCCCTGCGTTTCAAAGCCTTGAGACTGGTCTAACAAATGTTGACCTTAACCCCACGAGAGCATGCCGTTTCCTGAACGCTTCCCTCGCATGTGCATTGCTTGGGTGGTGTTGCTTTCCTTCGTCATCAGAGGGTTTTGTACCAAGCTGTTTGTTTGACTACATGGGGATACTGGGACGGAAAGATACAGGATGCTGTTTTTCCTTCGGTGTCCCCAGTCATTTTAGGTTGAAAAGATCGCTAAGGATTCCATTAAGGAACTGATGTAGGGAATTTAGCTCAAACTAATTGCTAGGGTGTTCTGGTTGGCCTTCTCTTTAGACTCCTGGCGGTGCTGTGTCTAAGGTGAGAGTGATTGATTGCAGAAGGTCACCTCATCTGGGGTGTGTGACAGCAGACAGGCTTGTGATTGCAGAGGGTCACCTCATCTGGGGTGTGTGACAGCAGACAGGCTCCCAGAAGGTCACATTTGCTTCACGAGCACTAATTCCTCTAAAGGACAATCAGGTACAGCCTTATTCAAATTTCATGACTAAAAATCTTAACATCGGGCTGGAGATATGACTCAGTGGTTAAGAGCGCTGCCTGCTCTTCCAAAGGCTCTGAGTTCAATTTCCAGCACCCACGTGGTGGCCCACAGCCATCTGCAGTGAGATCTGGCGCCCTCTTCTGCAGAACAGTGTATGCGTAAAAAAAATATCTTAGCATCTTTTGGTTTTGTTTTAATTTTTTGAAACAGGGTTTCTCCGTGTAGCCTTGGCTATCCTGAAACTCCTTCTGTAGAACAGGCTGGCCTCAAACTCACAGAGATCTGCCTTTCTCTGCCTCCTGAGTGGTAGAATTAAAGGTGTGTGTCACCACCACCCAGCAAAAATCTTAACATCTTAAGTATTATATATTTTTTTGCCCTACATATGAATAAGGTTTTCAGGTTATCAAGTAAGCCTTACTCTGGCTTTTTAATCTGGAGGAGAAAAGTACCTGTACTTGGAAGATTTTTAGCTGGATTACCAAGTTTGAAATTCTTCATACAAATCAGTTTTCTTTTCTCTATGTTTGTTTTTTGAGACAAGGTCTCAAATATGGTTCTGGCTGGCCTGGAACTCATAAAGATTTTCCTGCCTCTGTTGGGAGTAAAGGCATGGCAGGTTTTTTTTTTTTTTTTTTTTGTATAATGGACAATGTTTTAATAGGATTGACTCCTGTAGTGCTTTGGAGCCTAGGATCTATAAACAAATTTAAAATAGTTTATTTTTCTGTTTCTACTTTTTATCCTTTAAAATATATTTTCTTGGGGATGGAGAGATAGCTCGGTGGTTAAGAACACTTGCTGCTCTTCCAGAGGAGCCAAGTTTGGTTCCCAGGACCCAAAAAAAGAATTCACAACCATCTGTTTATCTGGCCTGCATGAGCCACACTCACGGCGTGCACGTATACGGGCAGGCAAAGCATTCACACACATAAATAAATATTGTGTATTTTGTGACATGCATGCAGTACCCATCGTGGCCAGAAGTGGGCATCAGATCCCCTGGAATTGGAGTTGCTTGGAACTGGACTCGAATCCTCTGCAGGACCAGTGTACATTCTCCAAGACATGCTTATTTCTTAGCTGTATACTTTCAACTTTGATGCTAGTTTATGCAAATGTAATTAAACTGTTGACACAATATCAAAATAGTCTTTTAAAACATCTAAATGTGGGCTGAAGAGTTGACTTAGCGATTAAGAACACTCATTGTTCTTGCAGGGGACATGGGTTCAAGTCCAAGCACCCATGTGGAGGCTCAAAGCCATCTGTAGTCCCAGTCCCAGGGCATCTGGCACCTTCTTCTGGCCTTGGGCACCAGGCATGCACATGGCGCACAGACATACAGTTTTCTCTTTGTTTTCGTTCTGTATTTTAGGACAGGGTCTCTCCATGAGGCCCTGGCTGCCCTACTGCTGGAGATAAAGACCAGGCTGGCCTTGAACTCAGAGAGACCCTCTACCGCTGCTTCCTGAGTGCTGGGATTAAAGCTGTGTGTACTCACACCTGGAGACACACAGTTTCATAGTTTCCAAACCAAACAACAACACACTTAAAGTAAATAAATCTAATATATATCTAAATGTTCCTAATATCCAGAGAAGTAGAAACAGTTCGTGTAACCTATTAAATACAAGAGTTATCTGGGTATTGCATTGTTAAACTGTACCCCAAAGCACCTTTAACTATAACCAAAGTTATGGTCTCAACTGGATATAGAATGGGTGGGCAACTTTTAATTTGCATTTTTAGAGGAACAGTAGGTATGTGTATGTATGTGTGTGTGTGTTTATAGTATCTATATATCACACTTTTCCCCCTAAAGATTATTTTCTTCTGCATGGGTATGGTGTTTCCTATTAGTTTATAGGCAGCTTAGCAGTGGCTATATCAGAACAGTAGTAGTTTTTATATTTTTTTTCTCTCAGACCAACTAATTTTAACTGTTAGCTAAAAGACTTTTGTTTCTTGCCTGCAGTTAGTAGGTTCTATTGGTCTTGCCGAATTAAATGATAAGGGGTAGTGTTTGTAGGTAATAACCCTGTCAGTGAAAATTAGACATTAAAGAAAGAATGTCTCAAAGCCAGCCATGATGGTGCCCATCTTTAATTCCAGCACTTGGGAGGCAGGGGCAGGCCTACAGAGTGAGTTCCAGGACAGCAGGGCTACTCAGAGAAACCTGTCTCAGAAAAACAACCAAGACAACCAAAAAGGGTGGTTGGTGACCGCATTCTGCCCTGTCTGTTGTCACAAGCAGTCCTGTGGCCAGCCATTGGGGCATTTGGTATTTTAATTACTTGAGTGATACAGGCGTGTTAGTTTGGTAGTGATATCTTGGGGCTCTCAGCAGAGTAGAACAGTTTTAGTAATCAATACCAAAGCTGCCCTGTGCATTTCCTTAGTTCCTTTCTATTGCAATTGTAGGTGCATACCAAAGCTAGTTCTCGTACAGGGGATTTCTCAGAACCGGGTATCGGCTCATGAGTAGACTCTAGGGGAATGTGAGATCTTTATTTCACTAATGTTACATTGGTGGACATCTTAGGATGTAGATGCTTCAGGATTCAGTGTCTCTTCTTACACAATAAGGACGGGAGAGTACAGCCGTGACTTCATTTCCCATAAGTAAGCCCCCGTTCTCAGCAAGGAGGAGTTGGAGACATTTGGGGCATGAGGATAACTATTGCAACAGATGGTTTTGTAACTGCCAAGCAACAAACATTCATCTTTCTTGACCTTTCCAGAATTTATGTGTGAACCTTGGAATCTGGTGATTCCAACTTAGGAAAATAAACGAATGCTTTGGTTGTTGAGTCTTCAAAAGTGGGCTCACATGCCACTCAAAGCCTTAGGAATTTCTGTCTGCCTTGTGTGGTGTTCTTTCTGCTGTACTGAGCAGTGCTCGACACATTGCAGGTGCTCGTTCTAAGACAGTTGCACGCAGCCTTCCCTTTAACATGAACAATGAGGTTTTCATGCCAGTGACTTCGTTCTTGTGTTATTCAGAAAGCGGAATCTGTCTCTGGGAAGAAATGATGCCGTTCAGCTGAAAGAAGCCTACAAATGGATCACTCACCCCCTGTTCTCAGAGGGACTGGGTGTTCCCGTTGATGGAAAGGTATCCGACATTGGCACTGTTGATCTCTGGCTTCCTGGGGTCCCTTTATTATTGCAGAGACTTGATTCTCCAAAAGCCTCTCCTCTTTCTGTAACTCAGTGAAGGATCTCCTAAGGTTTGGGGCTTATTTTTGTTTTATTTTTCGAGACAGAGTTTCTCTTTATAGTCCTGGCTGTCCTGGAACTCGCTCTGTAGACCAGGTTGGCTTTGAACTCCCCTGCCTCTGCCTCGCAAGTGCTGGGATTAAAGGTGTGCACCACCCTGCCCAGCTCTCCTAAGGGTTTGAATGCTCATTTCGAACTATTAAATTAATGCTAAGTCTCTTGTTTGTTTTCACTCCTTGTGACCCCAGATGCTTAAGCTAACAGACATGAACACACTGACCTTGAGAGGCTAGATGGAAATCTTCACTTGACAGCTTTGTAATTTAGCTGAAAGGCCAGATTTACTGATACAAAACAGTGTTTTAAAAACTGAGCAAGGGGCCAGCAAGATGGCTCAGTGGGTCAAGGTGCTTGCCACAAAGCCTCGTGGCCTAGGTTCAAGACGTCCCTTGGTGAAAGGAGAGAACCAGTTATTACAGGTTGTCTCTGTCTCTGTCTCTGTCTCTCTCTCTCTCTCACACACACACACACAGTTCTTTTTGAAAAGCTAAGCAAGTGTCAAATCAACTCCAGACTATTTATTTTTGTTTATTTGTGGCTAGTCTTGCTTTCAAATATGTAGACAGTTGGTATTCAGCGACAATGAAATGGGGTCCTTCTATAAGAGCTGGCGGTATCTCAAGTCCCTCTGTTTCTAGGCAGAGACTGCCTTTGAAACTAGGACAGCTGGCCACTTTTCCAATTCTAGAGAAGATCTGGCCTCCGTGGTGGGAATGGGCTGAAATCAGGACAGCTCAGCAGGCTGCCCTGTGTAAGCTTGGGTGAAGTCAGGCTTCAGTAGTACGTGCGCCTTGCTCACTTCACTAGAGCAAAGTTCCCTAAATGTTAGATATACCCCTACTCAAGTAAAGTCCCAGCACCACCCTCTAGAGCCATTCTAAATTATATACTCCATCTCCGGTAAACATAGTCCCTTTTGTGGTTTTGGCTTTTTGAGACAGGGTCTCATAGTTCAGGCTGGCTTTGAACTTACTATGTAGGTGAGAACACCTGAACTTTTGCCTCCCCCTCTCAAGTGGTGTGAGTGTCAGGACAAGAGCTATAAGCTGAATACTGAAAGAGGGAAGAGTAAAAATACCTCACAGATGGCTCGAAAAGGAAACGAAGTAATGAAAGTACTTTGGAAATTAGAGAAGTCATCAATGTAAGCTGTTCTTACCTCAAATTTCAGTTTTGAAGCAGATAATTTTAAAATTTACATACTGAGTCAGAGAACAGAAAGTGAGAGACAAAAGACTCAGTGATGTTGAGTAGATTCCAGCTGGTGTTCTTTAGTAGGAAACACTCAGTGCATCTTATTTTTATAATGCATATTAGAATAAGGAGCAAAACAGAAACCATTTATTATTATAATTCTAGAGAAGATAACGGGTTTGGTAAGGACCTAGAGGGCTCAGGGTAATAGAACCAAGGAGAAGACAGTTGGTATGTGGCATTCACAGCTTTTCCTTCAGTAGCAAACCTTGCTGGTTCTCTGCAGAGATAAGATATATCATATATATATATATATATATATAATGAAATTATTCACATACAGAAATACTTGCTGAAGCAATTGTTTAGTAGTAGGAATATTTTCTGTAACTTACCATCTCACGGTTCTCACAGCTGAAAGGTATTAACAGAACAGCTTTCCAAACATCTAATAAACATGGCGGGGAGGAGCACACCAAATGGCTTGTGATTCCACCCCGGTGGGATGGGATTGGAAAGCCATCTTGTACTAGATTGTTTTATAATTTGGAAGCATCACTTTTGAGGAAAGGGAAATTAAGAGCACTGGTTTAAAGAGTCAGATTCGAATACTTTAAGAATAAGCTGGAAGGCTGGGGATGGCTCAGCTGGTGTTTGCCACAGCATTGTTGGGACCTGAGTGAGGATTGCCAATGCCATGTAAAAGCCGAGCAGAGGTGGGTCTCAAGCTCGGCGACCTGCCAGCCCAGTTAATCAGAGAGACCCCATCTCAGGAAGAAGATGGTGAGGGGCTGAAATCCTCAGGCCTCCATGTTCATACACACACCGACACGCACACACGCACTCACACCCACGTGCACACACACACAGGCTTCATCCAGCATCCTTACAGATCTGAACCAAATGTTTTTGTCCTGCTAATAACTGGTCAGTAACGGAACGGAAGTTTTCTGGGGGTTTTAGTTATCTCTGTCCAGCTCTCCAGATTCTCACTTATCTTAATGTATCATTTGCCCAACAACACGTTGATTAAAAAACAGTTTGGGGAGGTTTGGATGGAGGAAAGGGAAGAGAGAAGTGTTGGGGTTATATTACAGTCTTCAAAACAAAACAGCCTAACCAGCTTTGGTAGTCCTGCTGGCGGCTGGGTTTAGAAGTCAAAGCAAAGCTAAAGCACCTCCTCCCACAGCTGCCTGCACACAGGCCTGCAGGCTGCGGTGTGTCTGAGCCAGTCCCTCGGAGTTACCTTACGTTGCCTTTCAGAAGCTCTTAATTTCCTTTTGCTCATTTAAAAACTCTTCTTTGTGATTTTTAGAGCTTGTTTGAAGTGAGTGTGGTCTTTGCTCATCCAGAAACAGATGAAGATTGCTGCTTCCTGTAAGTTGCCCCGTAAAACACAGTGTCAATTATGTAAAGTGTTGGTGCTTTTCTTTTTCATGAAGATGGTATTGTTTTTCTTTCTTGTGACTATTTCAGAACTTGTCATGCCTTACATTTAAAATGTTACCTCTCATAGAAGATTCCTCAGGAAAACCAGTGTAGCTCACAAATGCACACACACACATACAAACACACAAAATTATATATAATATGTAAATATAAAATGTATTTGAATTGTGTCTACCTAATATAAACTCATTAAACATATTTTTATTTATTTTTTTATTTATTTTAGATAGGGCCTCACTGTTTAGCCCTGACTGTCCTGGAACTCACTCTGTAGACCAGGCTGGCCTTGAACTCACAGAGATCCACTTGCTTCTGCCTCCCAAGTGCTGGGATTAAATGTGTGCACCACCAACTACGCCCGACTAAACTTTTATCTTAACTTGAATTTTATTTCAGAGGTGAAGTTTGCCCAGATTGTTTCAAACCAGCCAAGAACAAACAGGTAAGGGTTTCCCGTCTGAGCCTGCGCTGCGAGCGCGACAAGAGCTGCTCTGGAGAGGTTTCCATTGCGTTCATACATTGTTGTCCTCTGCATTTTAATTCTTTTGGGCTTTTGAGATAGCCTCGTTCAGGGTCGCCTGGAACTCACTGTATAAGCCGGTTTGTCCTGGAACTTGTAGCTGTGTAAGGGCCCCTTTGCAGGACTCCAATCCTGCCACACACTGCCCACCCTCAGCTGTTCTCTGAAACCACGTGGCAGGGCTCTGTGACCCCCTTGATCTCGCATCTTCTAAATGTACAGCAACAGTCTGTGTCTCTGCCAAGTTCTGCTGCCAGCTTGAGATGTCGCCTGGCTCCCTTGGCCCACGGTTGCATCAGCTTCTGTGCGCTGACCCTGGGGAAACATCCCATTGGCAGTTCCTTCAAGGAGCTGAGAACCACTTCAGTTAAGGTTTACTTTCTTCAAATGAATTTGAATCTTCACAAGATGGAACCTCCAGTGGGTAGGGTTTTGCCCTTAAGACACCTGTCTTATTGGCCAAGTGCTTGGCAGGAGGTTTTTCTTTGTCTCTTTAATAATTATAGCTGCTTTCTCAACTGAATGTTCTGTCTTGAAATTTCCTCTGCTGAACAGCTTAATCCATCACCGTTAATTTCAGCTGTGCTGAAATTCTTACATGGGATTACACATGAGAAAACACACCCCGGATGCCCCAGTCCAGTTTCACATGGAAGGTTTGTCCCATCCTGACCCTCGCGAGCCGGGCCAGTGCTTCCCACATTTCCCTCGGCATTCTTGTCTTTTCATCCACACCAGAACGGGCTATTAAGCTCTGCTTAGAGCATTCAGAGCCTCTACCCAGAATTCCAAACCCTTCCACTTCCTCCCTCCCCCAGTTCCAGAGGCTCAAGAACTCCGCGGTCAGGGTCCTCACAGAGCCGTGGCTGAAGCACTTGCTAATAATTATCTTGGTCAGTACAAACCTGGAGTCAGGTATCGGGGTAAGAACCTGAACCATCAGGGAAGCAGCCGGGCAGCCACCCGTGACTTCCTCGCTCTCTCCTTCCTCAGTCTAAAAGGGAGAATCTTTCTAAGCCCCACCCTACTCTCTCCTGGGTCTCTACACATCTTGGTCCTCCAAAAACATCTATGGCTAATTTTGGTCAGCTAGTAGTTAGCTCTGTCCAGTAAAGCAAACTTTATTGAGAGCCTCGGGAGTGTCTGCCTCAGTTCTTTGTCCTGTAGCTGTGATAAAATGCCCTGATGCAGGAGGACTTGGTGCACTGTACTGAACAGAAGGAGGAAGAGAGCTGGGCACAAGTCCACTACCCCTGTCTTCCTGTGTCTCCCTTGATCTGCCCACGCTGTTTTTATTACGGACATAGACAGAAAAGACCTGCAAATGCAGGCCAGGTACAGACCAGCACTAAGAGCACTTATGTTTGAATAACTTTCTTGGGACTATTAAGTATTTCTTGATTTTAAATATGTAGGATGATATAATTCCTCTAACTAGCTGTATTTTAGCTCTTGTCTAGATAAAATATCTTGTCTTTTTGTTTTACCCTATATAGTCAGTGTTCACCAGAATGGCGGTTTTGAAAGCTTTGAATAAGATAAAGGAAGAGGATTTCCTCACGTAAGTATAGAAATAAGGAGGCGCTGTGTAACTTTAGGAACAATGGGGTACTAGGGGCACAGGCACCCTGGACTGCCTCGTAGACGTCCTGGGTGTTGCCCAGCCGTGTGCATCTCAGTCCCCTGCTAGACCTAGAACAGCACCTGACGTGCGGCCGTAGCGGTAAATGTTTATCAAATGAACATTATGAATCGAGGAGGCCAGAGCGTGGCTCAGTCAGTGGTCAGTGCTTACCTGGCAGAGCTGAGAGGCCTGGGTTCAGTTCCCAGGACCAAAGCCCAAGCTTTTGAATTTGAGAGGAGGGTTTGATTTCCTTGCCTGGGTTTTCAGCTTAGTAATTTAGTGGTCCATGGGTCAAGAGCTGTACTGTTCCAGCCCACATCTGATCCTTTCTAGTGTGTCCATCCATCTCTCACACAGAAAGAGCACTGGCCACAGAGAAGGGAACCTGGGTTCAGATCCATTCTATAGTCCACATTGGGAACTCAGCTACATCAGCGTCTTCTTCTGAATCTCAGTGCTCTTTTCTAAAATATAAATTCTTAAAATATGTATAAATACAATAAGTTTTGTATTTTAATTATCAGTGTTATTTTTAAAAACCTAATTATTGTAATTTTCCTTCTAGAAAACCCTTGAATACATATCAAGCAATGACATCATGATGAGGGTTTCTTATCATTTATGAACTAAAAAGAAATGAGTCTCATGATGGAAATATTTTTATTAATCTTTGAAAAGTCAAAAATTTTTTATCTAGAAACTGGAGAGATGGTTGCGGTCCAGTCCCAGCTCCCACACACCAGCCGGGGATCTGATGGCCTCTTCTGACCTCTGTGGAAATCAGGCAGATGCATAGAGCACAGGCATAAATGCAGGCAAAACATCATACACATAAAGTTAAAGTTAAAAAGGATACTTCATATAAATGCCAGTTCTTGGATTTCTGAATGCTTTCATTGATAAGGCATCTTAGGAAATCATAGAAAAATTCCAAGCCACCTGTTTGGGGTTGATTCTGAATTTAATTATTTATAGGTAGCCTCCAGTTCTTGGCTGTGGAAATTCTAAATGGTGGACAGAGGATAAGTCGTTGCACCCCAACTTTCCACTTTTTCCTGTGTCACAGTTGAAATGGGAAGGAAGAGGGGGAAGTAGTGGAGGACCCCCACAGCAGGACAGACCCCCGGTGGGAGCAGTTACCCACTCAGTCCAGCTTTGCCCACGCAGTTAAACCTCATGCCAGGCAGCAGCCCGCGATCAGACAGAGCCGATGGTCGGAGAGCTAGAGGGGCGTCTGCTTTGTGTACGTGGATTTCCCCTCCTTCTGAAGGCTGTTAAAAATTGTCTGGGAAAGATCTCCTGACTGAAGGGCAATGTCCAAGCCCCAGTTTGCTTAGTGCCTCTGCTGTGTGTTAGAAGTGGCACTCCGGGGGCTGGAGTGTTGGCTCCGTGATTAAAAGCACTTGTTGCAAAGGACCTAGGCTTGATTCCCAGCACCTACATGGTGGTACGCTGCCTCTTTCAGCACCACCCACAAATCCGGTGCACAGATAAACATGTAGGCAAAACAGTTATTAAATCTTGGTGCTGGGTGATGGTGGGGCACGCCTTTAATCCCAACATTCAAGGGGCAGAGGCAGGTGGATCTCTGTGAGTTTGAGCCCAGGCTGGTCTACAGGACTATCCCCATAGCTACTGCCTTGTAAAAACCAATAAATAAATAAGCTAACAAATAAATAAACAAATCCCTGCCTTGCAGAAAAAACAATTAATAAGCAAGCAGATAAATAAATAAATAAATAAATAAGATAAAAATCTTTGTTTTGTTTGGTTTGGTTTTTGAGATAGGGTTTCTCTCTGTAACCCTGACTGTCCTGGAACTTGCTCTCTAGACTAGGCTGGCCTTGAACACAGAGAACCTCTGCTGCTGGAGTACCGGGATTAAAGGCGTGTGCCACCACTGCCTGGCATCATAAAAATAAATCTTAGAGAGAGGGGTGGTCCTCTGCAGCTGCCATGGTAACTTAGGCCTGTAATCCTGGACCTCAGGAGGCTGGGGCAAATGAATTGTGGCCGGACTGTGCAGCATAGTGAGCTCCAGACCAACCTGGGACACAGGGAGAGACACCCCCCCCCCCCCAGAATAAACAGAGTGCAGGGACTGGAGGATGGCCCAGTGGTTAGGAGCACTGGCTGCTTCTTCAGAGGACCTGGATCCAATTCCCAGGATCAATGGCAGTTTCTGGTCTCCATAGACACTACACACGGGGTACGCAGACACACATGCAGGCAAAATATCCTTACACATAAAACAAAAAGTCTTTTAAACAAAACAGTAAATTTTGAAAAGTAGTAAAGACCTGAAGGGCGCTATTTGCTTTAAAACTTGAAGGAGGGGAGAGGTATAGTCCTTGGGGCTCAAGTTCTGCGTTTCTTGGACAATGTAGATTCATCTGTTTGGTGATACATGTCTCAAGTATTAGTGTCCATAAAATTTTCTCTGTTTCGCAGGCAGTTTCCTTGTCCTCCAGACTCACCGAAGACTGTGTGCACTGTCCTGGAAATGGAATGCACTCACGGCGCTGTTTTTGTTGCTGGTAACTATCTCATCTGGAATGTCCACGTCCTGTCAGCCCCTTCCTGAGCGTGTCCGCGCCTGCTCTCTGGCTGCTCTCCCGCTCTGATGCAGAGCAAACCAGGCAGAGGGTGCTCAGTCAGCTGGGAAACAGACTTCAGAGAACTAATGTTACTGTGCTCTCTCTGATTAAACACTTGGCCTTATCCAGACTTTCCTGATTGCTGTACCGCAGGCAGGTTTTTGTTGTGTTTTAAAAGCTAGAGTTGCCTCATAGTGAAAGCTTGAAAGAGGTCGCTCCGCAGTCCTAACCGCCTCCTCGGGCAGTGGCAGCGGCGTTCTCTTATTCATAAGGCAGTGAGTCACAATGTGTTAGGGAGTTTTTTGTTTGTTTTTTTAACTTACAAATTCTTAAACTTTTCACAAATTTAATTCCCTGTAATACATCATCACCAATGACCATTATATTTAAATTATTATTAGTAATCTGTAAAAGCAAGTTTTTTTTTGATTGTTGTGTTCCACAATATCATCTGACTTTTCTAGTCAGTCAAATTATTAAATCATTTCGCTCATTTACTACCCTGTCTCTGTGTTTTTAAGGTACCTATTCTATTATTACTTTAAACCTTATTTAACCATCTCCATGTCTATGTTATGGCTTCCCAATTAGACTGTTTCTTAGTTAAAGGCCTCATTTTCTATCCTAGCATGTAGAACATCAAGCTTACTAAATTCTCCTTTTACCCTAATCTGTTGACCACAGCATTCAGTCCAGCTAGCTGATGTTTCTTTGGCAGGCAGATATAATAAATACTCCAGGAATCTACCACAAACTCCTTGGATAATTGATGGAGAAAGGAAAATGGAATCTTCGGTGGAAGAATTAATTTCAGATCATCTCTTGGCTGTATTCAAAGCAGAGAGTAAGTGCTCGTGTTTTACATACGTTGTTATTCATGAGTACATCCCTTGGTGGCTCCAGGAGAGATTGCTCTATTTAGTCAGTCATTCCCTAGAACAGGCTCCCTGGCCAGGCTTCTTCCCCAGAGCAGGCATCATCATTATCGGGATTTGGGGCTCAGACTAGATTTAGTCCAGATACCCAAGGGTGACTGCTCTCTCCTGGGGAACTCAGAACAACCAAGATTGCTTTAGACAAATGCACAAAGCCCTAACCGTGGCACTCCTCAGCCATAGATTCTAAGGGGAAATAGGGAGAAGTTGTGACGTTTATGTCCGGTGCTTGTTCAGGAGTAGTTAGCTGGTTTCTGCCCTGACCTATGGAGTGATTGAGATTGAAGTTCATGACTTAGAGAAACCATCTTATCGAGGTTTTTATGGTGTGTATTGTGCTTTAATTTCCCGTTGATGAGTCAGGCCTGAGGAAGCTTATGTTCTCCTTGTCTCAACAGGCCTGTAAATCAAAGGCAGTGTCTAGTAAAGTCTGTCGCTTTATGTGGGATATAGAAGGAGAAAAACTGTGGGCAGTGGGCAGTGCCAGCCATTAGAGCGGGGCTTCTGGCACAGTAGAGTCTTCTATGGACCAGCTCGACACTCCCTTTCTCTGTGAGAAACGCTGAGGAACACGCTCTAAGTCAGGCCGAGGTCTAGATAGGCAATGGCTGTCCCTGCTGACTTGTTAGGAAGAAAGGATTACTAGACCGCATCTCCTTCATGATTTACTGTCTGTCAAGGATGAGCTTCCCCTTTGTTCTTTATTATTTTTTACTTATGTTTCTGTGTTGGTTCCTGCACACGAGTGTAGATGTCTGTGGGTCCCTGGGATCTGGAGTTTCTAGAGGCTTGTGAGCTTATGTGAGTGTTGAAAACTGGACTCACGTCCCCTGCAAGAGCAGAGCGGTCGTAACTGCTGACCCAGCTGTCCAGCCACTCCCACCTTTAAAGGCTTATGCAAATTGTTTCCTTCTGTGTATGCCTGCACATGGGTGTGCATCTGGAGGCCAGAGGGCAACGCGGGGTGTCTTCCTCAGTTGCTTTCCCCCTCACTTTGTGAGACAAAGCACACTGAACCTGGAGCTCCCTGAGTTGGCTAGACCGGCTAGACAGTGAGGTCCAGGGGTCTGCTTGTAGTCCCCATACCCAGCAAATAGGGTACAGATGCGTGTTCTCACCCTCACTTCACTTTCTTTTCTAAAAGATTTTCATTTTTAAACCATGTAGTGTGTGTGGGTGGGGAGGCAAGCACATGAATTGCTGTGCTTATGGGGGATAAGAGCATTCTGTCCCCAGGAGCGGGAGTGCTAGGTGTTCAAGAGCAGCAAGCTCTTATTGTTAAGCCAAACCTCCAGCTAGACTCCTGGTGCTTACACAGGAGCTGGTCCGGGCACTAGACTCCTGGTGCTTACACAGGAGCTGGTCCGGGCACTAGACTCCTGGTGCTTACACAGGAGACATGTGACTCAACTGTTCCCCTATCTGACATGAATGATTTTCTGAACGGAGGAAAAGACTCTGTGGCATTGCTATGAACTTTTACCTATTTAATATCTGCGAGCTGCTACTTTTTTCTGAAGACTTGAAAATAAGCTCACTGTAAAAGCATCTCTCAGGCTGAAGATGTGCACTAGGTTCTGGCTTTATTCCATAGCACTGCACCAAAAGAAAAGAGTAAAGAACCCTTGCTTAATGTTTTGTTTGTGTGTTTGGAGCGGGGTGGCGAGGGTGGGGGGGTAGGGGACGGTTGGCAGGGCTGCCTCACTTTCTTTCTTTGAGAATTCAGGGATCTTCAGTTTGGACTATTTAGGTCCCAGAGAAGACAGAATGCCTGTATTCACAAACACATCACACACATGTGTACACACATAGAATAAAGGGTGAAAAATAGGATTGTGCTCATAGTGCAGGAATGTTCTTACATTGTTTCCTGCCCTGTGTCTACATTGTCACGTTATACTCTCTAATTCTCCTTAATCGGTGACTCCGGGGGCGAGGACTGTGCTGCCTGTTTACCTGTCTCCAGCATCAAGCACGGCACACTGCCGCATTACACATCCTGACCGAGCACCAACGCTCTTGTGGCCCAGAACCCTTCTGTCCTCCTTCCTCTTTGTTCAGAGACCTTCAGTGTCATCACTGTACAGACCACAGGGTTCCCAAAGCTTCCCAGCCCCTCCCAGCCCTTGAGCTGAGCTCCACTGCCGAAGTTAGGTGGTTCTGGTGTCAGTGCCTGTCCTCCAGCCTTGTAACCTGGACATTAGGTGGTTCTGGTGTCAGTACCTGTCCTCCAGCCTTGTAACCTGGACATTAGGTGGTTCTGGTGTCAGTGCCTGTCCTCCAGCCTTGTAACCTGGACATTAGGTGGTTCTGGTGTCAGTGCCTGTCCTCCAGCCTTGTAACCTGGTGGTTAGGAGGTTCTGGTGTCAGAGTGCCTAGCCTCTAGCCTCGCTACCAGATCTTCATTTCTTACTCTGATGTGACTTTTGGCAATGGATTCCTCCTGCTGGTCTCACCTTCCTTAAGAGGAAGATGAAGACAGTGCCAGTGACAACCTGTCCTAAAGCTCTTGGAGCAATGCCTGCTCGTGTTTGCTGTGGCGACAAAGCCTTTGCCGGATCTCTATCTCTGCATCTCTGTCTGTTTTCCCTGTCTGACATCCTCAGCATTTGATCTGTGCTGATAAATTCATCCTGGATTGTACAGCAGCTTTAACATGGCCGCATGTAGGGTTTGGTTATATAATTAATTTGCTATTTAAAGGTCAGACCTTTCTTCTCTCACTTTTTTATAGAGTTTAATTTTAACATGATTGTTCCTATTGTTATGCTTGCTTACTTTAAAGAACAAAGGCCAAGTTTTTGCCACAAGCCAGTGGCCAGGGAGGTGGGCCTTGCTTCCAGCTTTGCCTTTCTATGATGGGGGTATAGATGCTGGTTAAACCCTGGCTTTGACGTCAGACATATATAGCTCTGCCATTGGATTATTGGACCCTGGGAATATTACCTAAGTCTATGAAGCAACAATATTCATTTGTTTACTGCTTCATGAAGTTATAATAAAGATGAAATGATGTGTGTGTGTGTGTGTGATTTTACCCCAGTACCTGCCATATATTGAGTAGTACTTATTATTGTCATTGCTGTTTTTAGCCAAAGTTGAGATTAGAGATAGGTGGTCTTTATCCCATGGATTGCTGGGACCACGAGATCGTCAGTTGGATTCCTGCCAGTGATTGGAACAAAGTATACTAGGGCTGCTATCTCTCATCTTTTCTCTTGTTCTGCTTCTTACAGGTTTTAATTTCTCATCCTCTGGAAGAGAAGACGTAGACGTGAGAACGTTAGGGAATGGTAAGACGGCGTCAGCACCACCTGACCTGAGCCAGCTACTGCTGAGCCCCCGTGTGTATGTGTGGGGGGATGACCATGTGGGTTGTGCGGTCACTTCTGTAGACTGAATTATGTCTGAGCAGCAGACATCTCTTCAGAGATGCCCTTATCACAGGCCTGGAAGCTGGAATGGATTTGCATGCTCATGAAGAAGGAAACAGTTTTTTTCCCTTAAAGTTTACTAGTTACTCCATTTAAGAACTTTTCAGACCAGTTAGTGGTGGCCCATGCCTTGGGTGGCAGAAGCAGGCAGATCTCTGAGTTCGAGGCCAGCCTGGTCTACAGAGCGAGTTCCAGTACAGCCAGGGCTTTATTGAGACCCTGTCTCGAAAAACAAACAAAGAATATCTCAAAAATTACCAGTTCTTTATTTGGAAATGATTCTTCTCTTTTAACCTTCATTCCTCGTTCTTATTTTATCTTGTTGAGTTATAAGAAAGATAATGAGAATTAATTCTGAGCTGCTTGATGCTCAGTTGTTCCATGTCACTAGTAGATTAGCTGGGACAGTGGATCTCACCTTGTTATATCTGGGCATTGCTCTCCGTGACAATGTTAGTTCCATTCATGTAAGCAACTTAATTAGTGGTTATTTAAATTTTATTAACACAGGCTTGTGTGTGGACCTCTGGGAAGGCAATCATTTCACACAGCAACCTTCCTGCTGCAGTCCCCCCAAAGCCCCTTTACCCGTTCACACATCCCCTCCTCCCCCAGATAGAGTCATGCCACTAAACTTTCAGTCCCCTAGAGCTCAGCCCCTATCTCACACCTCCTGCCTCCCCCCCCCCCCCCAATGCTAACTCCGTCAACACGTTTCTGTTTCGTGGTGGGCGTGTGCTGCCAGGAAGGCCGTTTGCAGTGGAGCTGCTGAATCCTCACAGAGTTCGTTTCACTTCTCAAGAAGTTAAGGAGCTCCAGCAGGTGAGCACTTGTATGGGGTACTGTGTCTGTGCAGTCCCGTGACTGAACCGTAGGTGATCATTGTTGTTCCTTCTCTGCTGCTACAGAAGATTAATAAGGCATCTGACAAAATCCAAGTACGTGATTTGCAGCTCGTCACCAGGTGAGGATGGCTGTGCTGGAGATTCCAGAAGGGAAGCTCTCATAGATCATATATTTGGTAAGGGAATTGCATACTGAATATATTAAGAAAAAAAATCTAACCCCAATTAAGAAATGGGAAAATGATTATGTAGACATTTCTCCAAAGAGGACGTGTGTGTCGTCCAGGAACGTGAAATGGTGCCCACAACTTACACTAGGGCCGTGCAGGTCAGAGCCGCGGTGAGCGGGACGTCCCGTTCACACCCACGCGGATGGCAGTCGGCAGAGAGAAAATAACAAGTGCTGGCAAGGGCACAGAGAAAGTGCCCTGTGCATTGCTAACGGGGCTGAAAGTGTAGCTCACACGGCTGTTGACAGTAGTGTCTGCACAGGGCAGAGAAGTAGCAGTGGATGTGCAAGCCTGTAATTCTAATTGGGAGGCTAAGGCAGGAAGGTTGAATTCAGGGCTATCCTTAGCCAGATAGTGAATTTGAGGCCAGCCTGAGTTACATAAGACTTATATCAAGTCAAGTCAAATTAAAAAAAAAAAAAGTAAAGAAGATACCACTTGTCTACCTATAGAAAAACACAACGTGAATTATCCCTTCTTGTCCTTGGAAGATTGTTCCAGGACTTGCATGGACACCCGACACTGCAGATAATGCTGACTTTTATAAATAGTGTGCTTTTCCTGTACATAACTGATGAAAAGGTTTAACTAAAAAAACTGAGCACAAATCAGGACCAAAGAGAGCACAGACTGGTCCTGGGTTCAGTTCCCAGCACACACGGTGACTCACAACCTATAACTCGAGCTCCAGGGGATCTGACTCCCTTGTTGGACATCCAAGGACACCAGACACTCATGTGACATACATACATACATACAAGCACTCATGCATACACATAAAATAAAAATAAATCTTAAAAAACATAAAAATAGTAACTAATAATAAAACAGGACAATATTTTTAAAAGGTAAGCATCAATTGCCTATTTTTAAGTTTTTTTACATAATATTTTTAGTCGGAGGTTGACAGCAGACAAAGTGAATTCATGGCTAAGGGGAACCTACTACTTGCCCCCCTGCTGTGGTATGATTTGCTTGTTTGCTTTGTTTTTCTTTGAAAATGAAGAGGTGTGGAGTAATGAGTCTCACTGCCCCAGAGACGCACCTTGACTTGGCAGCATTATGAAGTGGCAGGAGCCACTCACCACTCTGTAGTTGTACCTGGTAGGAAATGATATAGATAAAGTCAGGTAGTGATGGATCATCTTGGGCTTGGGAAAGGAATGGGAAGAAAGTGCTAATGTGTGTGAGGGTCCTTCTGGGGGCAGTGGAAGTGTTGGAAGTTAGATGATGCCAGATGCGTAGCTCCAGAAACAATAAAATTCATAGCTGGGGGAATATATGCAGGTTATACCTCAGCAAGCTGTTGGAAGGGAGCAGAGATCTGGGACAAGGTTTGCGTGTATTTTCTGGGTTGAGACAAACTTTCCTTTGTTGCTGGTATTTAGAGAGGCCATAGGGTATATGAAGGAAGGTGAAGAAGGGAAGACCAAGACCTACAGTGCCTTGATCTGGACGAATAAAGCCATACAGAAGAACGACATTGGATTCCTAAATGACCTCAAGGTACTTTCCCCATGGCTCTGGTTTGTTTTATTTTTCTTCTGCATATTAAAAAGCCCATGTCTTCATGTTTATTACCAGCAAGCCATAGTACCTGGCCTTTGGGTCTGGTGACGTGCATTCAAATTCTGGCTTTCCAGTTCACTGGAAAACTCTTTGGAGAAGCAGGGTTTCAATGGGCGGTGGTGGCACACCTTTAATCCCAGCACTCGGGAGGCAGAGACAGGTGGATCTCTGTGTTCGAGGCCAGCCTGGTCTACAGAGTGAGTACCAGGTCAGTCAGGGCTACACAGAGAAACCCTGTCTTAAAAAACAAAACAATAGCAACACACAAAACAACAACAAGAAGAAGCAGCCGTGTTGCATGCTGCTGATTCTGAGGACGGACTCGTGGGGTTAAACCCTGGGTCTGCATCATAGTTGTGCAACTCTGGACAAACTCCTGACCTATGCTTCATCTGTGAAATTAGTGTAGAAAAACTAATTTAGTTCAATTGTACGAAGTATTTCAAATGGTATCAACCACATAGAAAATGCCCAGTAGTGCTATTATATTTGGTTATCTGTAAGAATTAAATATACAATAAATTTATTTTATAGAATTGATGCTAAAATTATATACATGAATGAATAAAATGTAATGATTCTATGAAGCACATGCATTTTGTGAGCATGCGACTGTAAAGGACCTGCTTGTTCTGTTGGCTGGTTCTCGTCTCTCTCCTGTAAAGACAGTCCCTGTGGGTAAGAGCTTGTGTGTGCAAGCATGAGGACCCGAGTCTGGATCTCAGCTTCATGTTAGAACCAGGCATGGTCATGTGTGCCTTAACCCCAGCACGACACCCGTGGTCCTAGCTCTTTTGAATACACCACACAGACACAGAGGGAGGGAGGGAGGGAGGGAGGGAGGGAGGGAGAACTCAAATGCAAAGATTGGGTGAGCATAAATGAGCACAAAAATTTATATTAAGTTGTCTGTATGATGGAGTTTTACTACCCAGGTCTTTAAAATTATGTGGAGAGCTGGGAGTGGTGGCTCAGAAGATGAAGGCAGAGGACCACAAGTGTGAGGCCCCTGGGAAATACAGCAAGACCCTATCTCAGAGAGCAAATTGTTTAAAGTGATACTTGTTAACATGGGGAAAATGCTCTCCTGAGTGCTAAGGGGAAAGCTTTAAGAATAAGTAGAGGGCCATGCCTTGTGATTTCAGCACATCCGGGTGTGCTGTGTGTACACACACGTGTGGCCTTGTGATTTCAGCACATCCGGGTGTGCTGTGTGTACGCACACGTGTGGCTTTGTGATTCAGCACATCCGGGTGTGCTGTGTGTACACACACGTGTGGCTTTGTGATTTCAGCACATCCGGGTGTGCTGTGTGTACACACACGTGTGGCTTTGTGATTTCAGCACATCCGGGTGTGCTGTGTATACACACACGTGTGGCTTTGCGGAAAACAATGTGGCAGAAGTTCTCATGGTTCACATTTAGTCGTGAAAAACATAGTTGTGAATAGATAAAAAATGGATAAAAGATCTGAATAGACGATTGAAAAGGACAACTCCAAATGTCCAAGAATCATCTGGAGTGCTGCCCCACCTCCAGGACAAAGTAATACATGACATTGCTCTGTCCCCTTAAACCAGAAAAGCAGCTGGAGGGTCTGGTCGAGAGGGAGGGGAGCTGAAGACACCGAAAGTGTTTCAGACTGGGAAGGCAGCCGCAGTGACTGAAAACGAAGGCTGTACCGATGTACCCGCCCTGGCTGTTGACAGCCTCGCTGCAGGGGTATGACTCTGTGTAAGGCTATGCGTGAAAGGAGGTTTTCTGACTTTGCTCAGAGTGTCAGAATCAACAAGGACAAAGCTGGAAGGAAAATGACATTAGCTGGATATAGTGGCAGTGCTCATAAAGGATGAGTTCAGGACCAGCCTGGGTCATGTGGTAAGACAAACGAACAGAAAACTTGGATGAGCTAGTGGTAGAATGAGCAAGCTTCTTGTAGCTATTAAAAATAAAACTAGAAGCAGGGTCAGTGTGTGGCTGTACATATCAGACATGTTGGGGAAAGGCATGCAGGGTCTGAATCTGACTCAGGAGGCAGAAGTGAAGTGACAGATGGCGGTGTTGCAGGGACAGCACACGCGGCTTGTCCCCTGGGGACGCCTGTCACCCCCACAGGCTTGGTGCTTCTGCCTAGGGCCTTTGGGAGGGGAGTTGGGGTTCGTTTCGTTTTAACTGACCTCAGGCTCACAGTGTATCCACCTCCTGAGTGCTGGGTTCCAGGTGTGTGTCACCAAAGGGCTGAACCCAGGGGCATCATGCCTGCTCTTCATGCGCTGTGCCAAACGAGCTACATCTCCAGCCCCAGGTAAGCAGATACAATACAGACATACATCTATGGACTTTGTAAAATCATATATTCTGTCTTAGATGTATAAATCAGCTGGATATGATGGTGTTTGTCTTTAATCCCAGCACTCAGGAAGACAGATCTGAAGTCAAAGCCAGCTGGGTCTACATAGTGAGATCCTGTCTTTAAAAAAAAAAAAAGAAACAAAAAACTCACCGAAATTGTAGATGCTCATTTAGAATGCTACTAAAAAAGAAATTCATTTTTATAAAAGGGGGGGGGGCGTGTTGCAGGCTGGCATTGAGGCTCAGTGAAAAATAAATCCATTAAAGATAGATTCAACGGCTGGGGATGTGGCTCAGTGGCACAGTGCTTGATGCAGGCCCTGTGTTTGGTTCCCAGCACTGCTCAAACAAAACAAAAAAAAGTGTAGTTTGGGGCTTACCATAGATCTAACTAAAAAGTAACCTAGAGAGGTGATCTTATAGGGGCATAGGAAGTGGTAAGAGACCACTCCCAGACACACTTGCTGGGCTTGGTTGGTTTCTAGTAACACTGTTATAGTTTATAAAATTCCCATTGGCTTAGAGATGAAAGCCGAGTTACTTCTCTATTCTGAGAAAAAGACTGCAGCAGGTTTGCTGCTTGCTGCCTCTTTTTAAAGGGCAGCCTACTTCTAAGGAAAACCTGTGCTTGTGTGTGCTTCTGAAAATTCAGCAGTGTGGGATAGTGCAGCACAGAGCTGAGAGTGGGCGGGATGGTTTCCTTCTGTGGTCTAGAAAGCAGACCACAAAGGACACACGGGCCTGTGTCCTGTGGAGTGCTATGTTAATGGCCCTGCTGGTGGGCTCCTCGTCAGTCCTGGGAGTCAGGCAACAGAAGCAGGTGTGTGTGTGTGTGTGTGTGTGTGTGTGGTGTTCTCTCTAGATAGCTGCTTGTTTTTATTTATTTCTTCCCTTCCACCCTCCCTCCCTTCCTTTCCACTTGCTATCCTGGAATTCATACTATAGATCAGGCTGACCTCAAACTCAGAGATCCGCCTGTCTCTGCCTGCAGAGTGCTGGGATTAAGGGCGTGCGCCTCCACTACACTGTCACGGTTGCTGTTGTAAAGGCCGCTGTTTCTGCTCTCTGAGTCTCTGTATACAGCATTGGAACTCTTCATCACAGTTCATTCGTGAAAACATTTGTCTTTTTGACTAGAGAAAGTCAAGCCCCATAGAGACAGCTCATCTCATAAGAATTATAGAATCATAAAAATCACGGTGGGTGGGGCTGTTAACTCCTGCCCTTCAAGTGTGGCCCTTGTCAGAACCTGTTTTCACCCTTGGTGTCCTGAAGGGAATGCAGGCTGAAGCCTTTCTCTCCTTGGCCAAGCCGTGGCTGCTCACTCATGCAAATTAGGAGGAGCTGTACCAGCAAGAAACTGCGGAGAAGTCAGAGTTCTTAAGAACCAACTTGTCTGGTTTGCCTAAAATCTATTTTTAAAAATTTGAAGTAGTTGACCCTTTGTAGTATTAATCCGTATTCCTTAATTTATATCACCGAACATACAGGGGGATCTCTAATCTGATGTAATTATAAGAAAAAGCAGCCTGTATCACTGAAAATCTGAATTGCTGAGATACGTGTGAATATTAATTTTGTAAACTGGGCTAGGAAATCCTGGAAGACCTTGAGTCACTGTTCAGACCTCTCTATAATCACTGTATGAAAGCATCTTGCTTAACGTTGTTGCGCCTCTTCCAGATACTGTCGGTTGTACTACAAACCCTGAAATAGATGCACACTGTTCCGTAAAATGTGCACACGTGACCCTCAGGTCCCACCTTCTACCTCCACTTCTCTTCAGCCCAAAGTCCTCACTTTTATGCCAATCACCTTGTGGCATCAGAAAACAAAGATAACAAATGTTGTCTTCTAGCAAAGTCCTGTGTCAGGATCCTGACTGATGTGTTAAGTGTCAGGGCAGAAGAACCCATGGGGTCATTCCCTTCCCAGCCTCCCGGCTTCTGATGGGGCTGTAGTGTTCAGATGAGAAGTCCCATAGAGCCTAAGGAGATGCAGCTGGCTCTGTCTTCCCGAGTTCCCACCCTGCTCTGACAGTAATGGGAACTAATGTGGTGAGCTATGGATGGCTTCGTGATTGTGTTACATCCTCCTCTAGGACTTAAAGATTGATCAGAAAACTCCTCTCCGGGTGCTCCACCGAAGGCCTTTGGCTGTGAGAACTCGGGCCATTCACTCCATGGAGACACACTACCTGGACGAGCATCATTTTCGTCTGTATTTGAAGACCCAAGCTGGAACGTATCCTTCTGCCTCTGCATTGCAGAGCCCTAACCAGAATGGGATCAGGATAGTTAATGCTGCCCTAGACAACAGCTTCAGTGATCTAGGAGACACTTATTTGCTAGACGTGTGTTCCCGTGTACCCCAGGTCTCGTGCACTCCAGGCTGACCTTGAACTCCTGACCCTCCTGCCTCCACCTCCCAAGTGCTGGGATTACAGGCCTGTGCCACCTCAGGTGGTCTGGGATATTTTGGAAAGGATTTGGGTGTATTCATTCAGTATTTTTGGAGTAGAATCAATACTTTTTTTCCTTTTTAGTTAAATCTTTTTTTGTTTTTATTGAATTATACATTTTTCTCTGCTTTCCTTTCTTCCTCTCCCTCCCCTTCTACCCTATCCTGTAATCCCCATGCTCTCAATTTACTCATGAGATCTTGTCTTTCTCTCCTTTCTATATAGATCTATGTATGTCTCTCTTAGGGTCCTATTTGTTGTCTAGGTTGTCTGGGATTGTAGACTGTACGTTGTTTTTTTTTTTCTTTGCTTTATGCCTAGAAGCCACATATGAGTGAGTACATATTTGTCTTTCTGGGTCTGGGTTATCTCAGTCAAGATTTTTTTTTCCCCTAGATCCATCCATTTACATGCAAATTTCAAGATGGCATTATTTTTTTTTTTACTTCTGTGTAGTACTCCATTGTGTAAAGATACCATATTTTCCTTACCCATTCTTTGGTTGAGGGCCATGTAGGTTCTTTCCAGGTTCTGGCTATGACAAACAATACCGCTATGAACATAGTTGAGCACTTGTCCTTGTGGTATGATTGAGCGTCCTTTGGGTATATTGCTAGGTCTTGAGGAAGGTTGTTTCCTAATTTTCTGAGAAATTGTCATACTGATATCCAAAGTGGCTGTACAAGTTTGCATTCCCACCAGCAATGGAGGAGTGTTCCCTTTACCCCACAATCTCTCCAGCATAAGTTGTCATCAGTGTTTTTGATCTTGGCCATTCTTACAGGTGTAAGATGGAATCTCAGAGTTGTTTTGATTTGCATTTCTCTGATGGCTAAGAAGGTTGAACATTTCCTTAAGGGTCTTTCAGCCATTTTAGGGAATCAGTACTTTTTGTTTGAAGTCTGTTTTCCCATTTGTATTTCAGAATAGTGTTTTAAACCATGAAGTGTCCATCAGTTCAATGCCAACTTTAAAGTTTACAGTTCTGTGACAGTGTCTTGCCCATTGTTTAGCATATAATAGACTCGGGAAGTACTTTTCATTGGTTCATTTGCCGTCTTTACACATTTTACAAGTCACATGTTCATAACCCTATTTGGTCATCTAACTATTTCAAGTGTTTGCCCAACTGAGTAAACACAGGAGGTAGAGGGGAGCAGGTATTTTACCCTCTTTAGAATTTGAGACAAGCGCTCATCGTGTTGCCCAGGCAGGCTCATCACGAACACTTAAGCAGTTCCCTGTCTCTGCCTCCAGGATGGTGGGAATACGGACACATGCTGTGTTGGTGCTTCTTGTCATAGTGATTGTAACTTATGTGCAGGGCTGTGTGAAAACCAAAACCCAAACTACATATCACCTACTTAAGCAATAATATGTCAGTGTTAGGACAGAGTTTCAAAACTCCAAAATTTTGACCGTGTTTTAAATAGACAAATGTAATACGTATTCACTCATAAGTGGCTTTTAGACATAAAGCAAAGAAAATCCGGCCTATAGGTCACAACCCCAGAGAAACTAGATAACAAAGAGGATCCTAAGAGAGACATACATGGATCTAAATAGGAAGGTGAAAAAAAGACAAGATCCCCTGAGTAAACTAAGAGTGTGGAGGTCATGGGAGAGGGTAGAAGGGGAGGGGGAAGAAGAGTGGGGAGTGGAGAGAAATGTATAGCTCAATAAAAACAATAAAATAGAAGATTGGAACTTGGAGTTTTAAATAGCTACCTGCCAAAGCTGATACTGATCGGTTCCAACTTGCGGCTTCAGGGTCAGAACTGAGTCTCTCAGACAGTGTATCGGAGAGCTCCGGCAGTCTTAGGCCTACTTTAGTATTTGCTTTCTTTTAAGACTGCTTCTTACTGTGGATCCTAGGCTGTCCCTGATCTCAAGATTCTGCCTCTGCCTTTCAAGTGCTGGGATTACAGGCATGTCTCACCATGCCTGGTTTTCCTATTGCCCCAGATTATAAGAATGAAATAAAACTAATTCTGTCTTTAATTTTACATACCAAGAGGAATGCTTTGTCTCTGGAAGAACTAGCATGATTTCAATCCTGTTAAGACATTTTTGGAAACAGCTACATGTATGTACTTAATACGCTAGCCAAGAAGAGCTGGTAAAACTACAGCTACCTCGTGGTTCTCGTAGTGCGTGGCCTTGTGTGCGCATTTCATGTTGTGCTGTCTCAGTCTCTCGTGACTCAACATGGCGGCCAGGCTCATTGCCTTCCGTCTGGTCCCTCCAGCACGAATTCAGGCCAGAACTTTCCATCGCTTCCTCCTTTATTACTGGCTTTCTCTGAAGAAAATGAGGGGAAAAGAACAACAATTGAAGAGAAATTCTGAATTCAGGAAAAAAAGAGCCACTGGATCATTGTACGCCTTCTGTTTGAGTCAAAACAAGTTATGGGGGAGGAGATGAAAAAGCGTGTACTGTTGCCTCCCAGCTAGTGCTGGGGAAGTCGTTTGTTTTCCTGTACCGACACCATAACCACTTACACTAACTTCTGCTTTTACTAACGCAGTGTTTTTGTGTTATTTTTCAGATGACGTCAGGGCTGCAGTGTGTGCTGTGGAGTGCTAATCTTATTAAGAACAAATGCCAGATTTAACCCTTGCCTTCAAAGCGTAAAGACGTATGTAGAGAACACAGTTGCTAAAGCCAGCCCCCAAAAGAATCTAGCCAGGTGTGGTTCACACTGGCCCTGTTATTCAGGCTTGCTTCTGCTCAAGACAGCCTGGACTACACAGTGGCTCCAAGGCCAGGTTGGGGTATGTGGCAAAAAACTCAGGAGCGTATATACACACAGATAGAAACAGAAAGCAAACAAAATCAAACAAGCAAAAAACTTAATTCTTTTCTCCCAGGTGCCCATAGCTGCAGCCTCGGGGCGGGCTTGCACCCCTTTTCTGACCTCAGCCATTATGCATACTTGGTGTACACTCAGAGACACACATGCACGTGTAAATAGGAAGTATCAAGTAGACTTTTAAAGAAGACTAAATAGTTTAATTTTTCCTCCCATCTTAATGCTAGTGTGTTACATGGAACCCCATTGTTGGCAGTCATTTTCTGTGTGGTCCTGTAGAAACTTCCCATTTCATAGATGTTAATTGCCATTATTGAAAAATGGGACCAGATATCAAAACAGAAATGACAAAGGGGGGGTGTTGAAAAGCATTGGGTTGGGCATGGTGGTGAAAGACCCTCCAAGAGTGTCTTTCCTCTGGGGAGACCCTTCCCAAGGAACAGCGAGACCACGTGTACGGATGCAAACAGCAAGAGGTTTATTCAGATACACAGGTGCCTGGGGCGACAAAGTCTCTCGGAGGACTTGTGCACCTCCAGGTCGGGGTAATGGGTTTATATATGTTTTGGGGAGCAAAAAGCACGGTACAGAAGCGAGAAGCGTAGTTACAGGATTTTTATTGGTTAGTTTGAATGTGGCCGGGTTCAGGTCGGGACAAGGTCCCTAGTTCCCGAGAATTCAGATATGGGCTGCCTTGGCTCTTATCTAGGGCAGACAGGGTTCCTCCTCCGGCCCAGCTACAGGTGTCTCTATCTCGTTTTGGCAGCTTCTAAACTGCCCTTTGTTCAAACCCTGAATATTCAGTACAAGCCTTGTAAAATGGCGTTACCGGTGCTAAGCTACTTAGCAAGCTGGACGGGGGTCTTTCAGTGGCACATGCCTTTAACACCAGCACTCAGGAGGCAGAGGCCGGTGGAGGCTAGCCTGGTCTACATAGTGAGTTCCAGGCTAGGTCTACACAGTGAGAAGCTGTCTCCAAAGGTGGGGGGGGGGGAGTGGCATTGAACTATATAGTCGATTTAATGTATATCCAAACCTTGGCATTTTGAGATGAGATGAGCTCATAAGAAACCCACACCTGGGGTGGGGGTGGGGGTGTCAAAGGTTTTCACTGTCAGCACTTGAATGGTGGAAGTGGGAAGGTGCAGGTCATGTTCATGTAGCCCGGGCCACATGGTGCCCTGTCTGAAACAGCAGAGTCGTGGCCTTCCGTGAGTTTGATGTAAACAGGTTCTGGTTACTATGCTGCACCTGGGCTGGTGGGATCCAGGCTGCTGGCAGCGAGCTCATTTTCTGAGATACACATCTCAAGTCCAGGTTCAGAAATGGCCTCACTTCTGTAACATTCCCTTCCCCTTGGCCAAAGTAGTTGTTGCTACATGAGCTTTTCCTTAAACAGACCTAGCTACATTAAAGAATTTGTACACGGAGACTTTGGGAGGACCAAGCCGAACATCGGCTCTCTGATGAACGTGACTGCAGACATCCTTGAACTCGATGTGGAGGTAAAGTATTCTATGGGGAGTGCACACCTGCCAGTCAAATTCAGCCAAATTAGGTCTTTTGACACTAAACCGAATAGCATCATCTGTGTCCGTGGGTGTTTTTTTATATGAGGGTTTTATTTAGATTTATTTTCTTTTATGTGTAAGAGTATTTTGTCTGCATGTATGTCTGTGCACCACATTGTGCCTGGTGTTCCTGGAATTGAGAAGAGGGTGTTGGGTTCCCCTGGAATCAGAGTTACAGATGGTTGTGAGCCATCAGGTGGGTGCTGGGAATGGAACCCAGGTCCTCTGGAAGAGCAGCTTGTACTCTGAACCACCAAGCATCTCTCCAGCCCTCTCTAGGTATTTGACAGGAGTAAAGCTTCACAGTAGCCTTGTAGTATAGGGAAGAATTATCTCTGTAATTATTTTAAACACACAAACCAGGATCCATTGGTGATACTTGTGGATTATATAATTGATTTACTAGTTGGTATCAGGTACTGTCATTTACTAATTTACCTGTGGCATCAGATTAAACCCTTCTGCACTTGAGAAGCAGAGTCTGGTGGATCTCTGAACTCAAGGCCACCCTGGTCTACATAGGTATTTCCAGGACGGCCAGGGCCATATAGAGATATCCTTTCTCAAAGAAGGGGCTTTAGGGCTGGACTTAGCCCGTCTCAGTAATGGCCATGGCTGCCAAGGCAGCACTGAATTCAGTCAGTCCCTGTGATCTACGCGGTAGAAGCAGAGCCCCACTCTCATCTCCTTGTGTGCTGGGGCATGGGCGTGTGTGTTCATGCATGAGTGTGCACACTCATCCCCTTGTGTGCTGAGGCATGGATATGTGTGTGCATGCACAAGTGTGTACACTCATCTGTTGGCGGAGGCCAATTGTTCATTCTGGGCTGCCCAGACCCCCAAATAATCACTCAGAAACTATATTATTTGCAATACTATTTGGCCAATAGCTTAAGCATCTTTTTTACTATCTCATGTCTTAAATTAACCCATTTCTATTAATCTGTGTATCGCCACATGGTTGTGGCTTACCAGGCAAAGTTCCGTCCCCAGCGTCTGTCTCCAGTGGGGCTACATTGTGTCTCTCTGACTCTGCCTTCTTTCTCCCAGCATTCAGTTTAGTTTTTCCACCTAGCTCGATTCTGCTAAGCCACTGGCCGAAACAGATTTATTCATTAACCAATAAAAGCAAAACATATACAGAAGGACCTCCCACACCACTCATCTTCTTGTGTGCAGTGGTATGGGCATGTGTGTGCATGCATGAGTGTACACACGCACATACAAAATAAGTTAAATGTTTAAAAAGGGATCTAAGACCCCTTGTTCCAGAGCACGCACTTAGAAATGATAGGAAATAGATAAAGTAAATTGAATTTCTCAAGCCTGGCATAGTGGTGCATCTATAATCCCACTTCTCAGGAGGCAGGGGCAAGAGAAATGTGAGTTTGAGGCCAGTGAGACCCTGACTCAGAACAAACACAGCAAAGCAGGTGATTGTCTTTGGGATCCCTGCCACAGTCTAGATCAGGTAAGAGTGCTGTGTTGTGCGGCTCTGCCCTTGTAGTATCAGCTGAAGCAGGGTTAAAGTCTAAAGAACGGCCCTTCCGGGCTGTGGGGTCATCCTTGCCTCCCTCCACTGCAAATCCCAGAAGAGGCTAGCGTTCTGCAAAGGTGCGTGAAGTGGACATGTGCCCAAGTGACCAGCCATGGCAGTCACGTTGTCATTAGACTGTACAGGCTCTTACATGGCTGCCAGGATCCACTTGCAGATTGATCAGCCTGTTGAGGCTGATGTAAGGAGACCGACAACTTAGTCTCACGGAAGGTGCCAACCACAGTCACTGCTTTAAAAAATTGGTTATCATATACCAGATGTTTAGCCCTGGAAACATACATACAAGTAACATAACACAGACTGAGCAGGTTATATTTAGGGTGTGTGTGTGTGTGTGTGTGTGTATTTATGTGTGTATGTAGCAACAATTAATGCCCTAAAGAGACCATGGATTTGAAAGAGCAAGGAAAGATATAGGGAAGGGTTTGGAGGAAGGGAAGGAAGGAGAAAATGATGTGATTGTATTATAATCTCAACATTAAAATTGAAAACATTTTCTCTAGAATGCTAGGCAAGACTCTACCTTAAACTATGCTCCAATCCATGTTAACAGACAGCTTGGGGTCAGTTTCTCAGCCCTGTCAGTAGGACTCCCTGTAGAGCTACTGAGCCATGGTGATGTGCCTCTCTTCCCTGTCTTCTGCCACCGTTGTGGCTCTTTGTGTCCCAGTTTTAGTTTGAGAGGCTACTCATTAACCTAAATATGATTATTTGGCACATGGCTTTATCTAAAACACTACACAATGCATTTTGGGATTTATTAGAGCAGTTTGCACAGTATTTGCTTGTCCAGTGGTTGAGGAAGCCTTGAGTGTGAACTGACCTGTGGGCTGATGAGCACATTCGTTTCAGAGAGGTGCTTCACACTCTGGGTTGGGTTGGGTTGGGGGGTAGTTATTTATTTATTTATTTTTGTTGGTGGTGGTTTTTTGTTTTTTCTAGGCAGGCTTTCTTTGCGTAGCCCTGGCTGTCCTAGCTCTGTAGACCAGGCTGGCCTTGAACTCAGAGAAATCCTCCTGCCTCTGCCTCCCAAGTGCTTTTTGTTTTTAAATATATCCCAGGCTTGCTTGGAGCTTGCCTTGTGGCTCACGCTAGTGTGTACTAATCTGTCGTAGCTCAGTCTCCTGGCTGCTGTGGCTGGTATACACGTGCACCCACACAAGCCACTTCCTAAGGGAGGTCCACCGAGAGGCCGGATAAGGTGTGTCTTGGTGTGTCTGGAATGTGATATGTGGAACTGGACTAGATTGCTTACTGTAATTTTAATCTGGAAGAACAAAGGGAGGGTAAGTAGCAATGGAGACTGATCAGATTTATTTAGATGCTTTTGATGTTTTGGAGCAGGGTCAGATGTAGCCCAGGTAGGCTGTAAACTCTTGACTCCTGCCTCTACCTCTGAAGTGCTAAGATTGCAGGCATGTTTCGTGATAGCCGACTTGACTGGGTTTTAAAAGAAGCAAAGCTTCTGAAATGAGAAGCTACTTGGTGGTTTTGTAGCTCTAGTGATGGTCATATTCATTCTCTTCCCCTTTAGTTAGAGACTGCTCGAGCCATGTGCCACTTAACACTGGTCCCGCTAGCTGATACCCTAGTGACATCATGCCTTAGGTTAAGTACGCCATGGTGTTTGCCCAGTGATGGAGTCACCGATGACACATTTCTCAGAATGTGTTCCCACCATTGAGTGATACATAGCTGTATTTTGTTAAGCAGAAGGTAATCAGAGCAACAGTTGTTGAAACTTGTGAGAAAAATAGTGTGGCTGCCCAAATTTGAATTTCTTCATACTTTATTCATAACTGACATGATGACTTGTCCACTCTTCTCCTAGGAGTCAAGAGGGATAAAGTAATTGTATGTCTATTAGTTCAGAAATGGCCTTCAGGGTTGCAGCTCTTATCAGTGTCATTTCTCCTGCACACAGCGAAATTGTCCCCAGAAATGCTTGCCAGAGTTTCTGTTTAGTGACTTTCCTTCCTCTCAGTCTGTAGATGTTGACTGGCCCCCTGTTCTGGATGACAGGAGTTCTGTTTAGTGACTTTCCTTCCTCTCAGTCTGTAGATGTTGACTGACCCCTGCTCTGGATGACAGGAGTTCTGCTTAGTGACTTTCCTTCCTCTCAGTCTGTAGATGCTGACTGGCCCCCTGCTCTGGATGACAGGAGTTCTGCTTAGTGACTTTCCTTCCTCTCAGTCTGTAGATGCTGACTGGCCCCCTGCTCTGGATGACAGGAGTTCTGCTTAGTGACTTTCCTTCCTCTCAGTCTGTAGATGTTGACTGGCCCCCTGCTCTGGATGACTAGCTTCCACATCTGGACACAGAGGGCTTTCCTGACGTGATGCGGACATACAGGCGGCGTATCCTGGAAAATGACTTACCCACCACCACAGTGTCTTCAAAACGGCTTGGATCGTGTTCATCTGTTTCTGAAGTTCACTGTAACATCTCAGGATCTATATGTACGCATATTTTGTGTTCTGAGGATGTCTTACGTTTTCTCATTCCGTCTCATGGCCACAGAACCAAAATAGGAATGATCGAGCCATTTTCCCTTTTAATTCTGTCACTAGAGACGTGTGCAGTGGGAGACACTGTTAAGAGGAGCTGTGACTTCTTCAGTGAGATTTCCCACGGGAACCCCTGCACCTTTAAAGTAAAGTGCTCCAGTTTTCAGATCATCTGAATAAACGCTGCAACTAGACTCACGTGCTAGAGTGTCCTGTGGATTTCTGTATCTCCAATGCACATTTGATAGGGACTATTTCTCCCGGTTCCCCTCAAGTGTTATCAGTGGAAGGACTTTAAGGTGAGATTTGTCATAAGTCCTAATGACCTCAAGTTACTAGTTTGACAATCTAAAGTTGTCGGTACTTGTCTCCTGTAGAACCTGTGACCGTGCTGGGGGTGAACCTGTAGAGCCACGGTTCCCACCTGTGACCATGCTAGGGGTGAACCTGTAGAGCCACGGTTCCCACCTGTGACCATGCTAGGGGTGAACCTGTAGAGCCACGGTTCCCACCTGTGACCATGCTAGGGGTGAACCTGTAGAGCCACGGTTCCCACCTGTGACCATGCTAGGGGTGAACCCGTAGAGCCATGGTTCCCACCTGTGACCATGCTAGGGGTGAACCTGTAGAGCCACGGTTCCCACCTGTGACCATGCTAGGGGTGAACCTGTAGAGCCACGGTTCCCACCTGTGACCATGCTAGGGGTGAACCTGTAGAGCCACGGTTCCCACCTGTGACCATGCTAGGGGTGAACCCGTAGAGCCATGGTTCCCACCTGTGACCATGCTGGGGGTGAACCTGTAGAGCCATGGTTCCCACCTGTGAGTCGTGACTCCCATAGGGGTTGCATATGAGATGTTTATAATACAATTCATAACAGTAGCAGATTACAATACGTTCATGGTTGAGGTCACCATCATATAAGGCACTGCATTAACGGGTCACAGTATTGGGGAGGGTGAGAGCCACTGGCCTTGACACTTTCCTGCACCCTTTAAGGAAAGTGAAACAAGTGCCTTCAATAACTTCTTTCCCAGGTTACAAATTCAAAAATCTGAGCTTGCTAAACAAATACAAACACATTTTACAGTGTTTCAACTATTTTCTAACTTCAAACATCTTAATCTTAATAAGGTATATCTAACTTTATATCTAATTCCATAAACAAGGAAACAGTTAAAGGACACCTAAGATACCAGTTACTCCTGTTGACCAGGACTGGAACTGAAGTTGTGCCTCCAGGGTCCTTTCTGTACACACTTGTCGCTCCTCTGGCTGACCGTGCTCTCGAGGGGGCCAGTTAGATGCGCAGTGCCTTCTGGAATTGGGTAGCAAGTTGCTCCCAGGAAGTGGCTAATGCATGTCTTAGATGATCTCATATAATTATTATTTGTAATGAATGGCATGATGAAGAAGCCATAAACATATTGAACCAAAAGAAGTTGAATTAATCATTGAAAATTCCAGAAGAGAAACTCAATAAAATACGAATTTAAGTGTAATTTTTATCATCTGGCACAACTTCTTGACCTTTGTCCTTCCTCCCTTCCTCCTTCCCTCTCTCCCATTCTTCCTTCCTCCCATCCTCCCTCCCTCCCTCCTTCCCTTCCTTCCTGATACATCACTTTGAACAATATTTGATTGTTCAGTTTCTCTGCACACAGTTCACAGTGTAAGATCTATTTTAGTCTGAGGTCATGCTGCAGCCGGGGCCATACAGATCTGAGTGGCCTGTGCTACCACCTCAGTCCATGGTGACGTCTGGGCCTAGACTGCTTCAGAGGACCATGTCTGGGTCCGTGGTCTTACCACAGTTGGGTCTGTGTTAATATCCATGACCCATATTACAACCAAAGGCCACGTGGATGCCTGGGGTCTAGGCCACAACCATTGGCCATGCTGGTGTCCAAGGGCTATGCCGCCACTGGGGTCATACTGATCCGGGCGACCTGGGGCAATGATGTCTGGGTTCAAGTTGCTGCTGAGGGCATATCTGGGTCAGTGGTCCTGCTGAAGCTGGGGTCTGTGGTGATGTCCATGGCCTGTGTTACCACAGGGGGCCATAGGAACCATGTGTGTTGAAATCCACGGGCCTTGCTGAGCTGACTCTGCCCTCCATACAGGTGGCCTCACCCCTTCCTTACCTTGCAGCCTGAGAACTGGTCCCACCCCTCACAGGAGAGCTCCACCCCACTCCCTACCACTGCCTTGGGAGAACTGTCCCAAGGCCGTCCCTAGCTTGAGGAGGGTGGCCCTGACCAGCTCAGCCACCACCCAGGCCCACATCCTGGACCTCTGCTTGGCCCACCTTAATATCTACTCCATTTAGGACCTGCTGGATTGTATAAAGGGCTGGTCCTGCAGAACAATATTTGCAGACTCTGCATGACTGGGGACAACTGCAGGAGATCTGAGAGGAGTTTTGGTGAGGGTCCAGTGGAGATGGTGTGCCAGAGGCCAGAGGACCTCTGCACATCTGCGGTGAACATCTGTGGGTAGGGCTGGCAGGAGAGGGGGTAGACTGCATGACACAGCAGCCCTCAGGGCCACTAGGATGAACGAGGTGTTGGAGAGGTGGGGGTGCGAGGTGGTCTTTTTGTTTGTTTTTAATTAATTTGGGGGGGACACTGGAGGGACTGGGAGGTGAGTGGGGTTAGGGTGCATAAAGTGAAATTTCTAAAGGATAAAGAATGATGTTATTAAAAAGATGGATTTTTAGATATTATAACAGGAAAACGTTTTTGCTTGAGGTGTAAAGGGAAGCCTACTGCTTTGAGACCATGTCTCATCGTCAGTGAATAGTAGCAAAGGGTTTTTCTTCACTGTCTGAAACATGCAAAGGGGATGACAGAGCTTAGCTGATACAGAGCTAAAGGTTAAAGACTTCTAGTGAGTAAACTTTCAGCTTCTGATGAAATTTCGCTGCAGAAGAAGTTTAAATAATTTAGCATAAATCATGGTTTCTTTTAGCTCAGCTTTGAATCCAGTGAACCCAAAACACAATGCCAGGAACTTCCAGCAAACTGTTTCTTGAATTATTTCCTGTTGAAGTGGCTGCTGAGGTCCATGGGACTTGGGGGTCACAGGAGCAGGAAGTAGTTTATTACCTTGGTTTCCCTTCTATATGCTCTATTTAAATTAGGAGCATTGTTAGTTGCAGAATGAGCGTTTTGTTCTTACAAATATAATCTGTAGTTTAAGGGGAAAAAATTAACTCCAAAGAACAGGAGGAGTCAGAAAAAAACCCACCAGAATTAATAAATGAGAATTTTCCTAGTAGAGTAACTGGTTCCTTTGCAAATTGAATTGATTTTAAGTTAGATTTACATTTCGTAAGAGAAAAAACAGGTTTTTCTTTTTTCACTTGGAGCTTTATTGTTGTTTTTTTTTTTTTTTTTATGGAACGCTTCACGAATTTGCGTGTCATCCTTGCGCAGGGGCCATGCTAATCTTCTCTGTATCGTTCCAATTTTAGTATATGTGCTGCCGAAGCGAGCACGGAGCTTTATTGTTTTTAAATTAAATTTATTCTTTGATAGTTTTATAATGCACATAACACAAGTGGTCACACCCCCCCCCCATCCTTTTTGGTTTTATTTTTGAGACAAGGTCTCTCTGTGTACCTGTCCTGAACTCACAGGTATCCGCCTACCTCTTCCACTAGGATTAAAGGCGTGCACCACCACACCGACCGGCACTCTTTCTTACCTCCCTCCCCTCCCCAGAGAACTCTCTCCGAGACCCTTCCCACTTTCACGGCTTCATTTTGTGACCCACTGAGATTACAGCCTTTGTGGGCATAGATGTGGAGCACTGTGAGCTCACATACAGCTGCAGCATTTAAGACCACACCCCTTCAAGCATGCGTCAAGAGCTAGCAGTTCCTCAGGTGGGACAGGACCCCGTGACCCCTCCCTGATGATTGCCCCAGTCATGCCATCTTGTCGAGAAGGTGATGTCTCAGCATCCTCATCAGCCAGCTCATCTGTTATTTCTGCTCCTTGGTCTGGGTTGGAGGTCCACACAGGAGAACGGACTGCGTGTGGTAAGCTTTGTGAGGAAGGTCCCTGGAGACAGGGTCTCACGCTGCAGCGTGGACTGGACCTGAGGTCAGGATTCTCCTTCCTCTGCCTCGCAGAGTGTTTGGATTGAACTCGGGCCATAACCCCGTCCAGGTGGAAGCTTTTCTGAATGGGTTTGTACATGGCACTGGCTTACCTTGGAACTTAGGGAGGGAATGTGTTTCCCTTTACACTTCCGTTATCGAGGGAAGTCAGGACAGGAGCTGAAGCAGGAGCCACGGGAAACACCGCTTCCTGGCTCACTCCTCGTGGCTTGCTCGGTCTGCTTTCGTATAGCACCCAGGACCACGAGCTCGGGTAGCGCTGCTCACGGTGGGCGAGGCCCTCTAACAACAATCCATCACCAAGACTGCACCACAGACTTGCCCACGGGCCTAGCCTATGGAAACACTTCCTCCATCGAGTCCCCCTCCACGCAGATAGTCTAGCCTGTGCCAAGTTGACATAACTTTATTACCATGAGAAAAAAAAATGACTTTCATATCTTTTAATTCTTTTCACTTCAAAATAATTCCAAACTTAAAAAGTCCTGAGAAAAGTACAAAGGAACTTTCCCACCGAGCTGCCGAGCAGGCAACACCTCACCATCTCAGATACATCAGTGTGTGATTCCAGGAAGGCATCTTGTAAATCACAGGACGCCCACCATACCAGGAAGTCAGCACTGACAGACTCCCGTTATCTAACCCGAAGGCTTCCCTCGGGTTGCTGTTGTTTGTCACGGGCTTCAGGGTCGAGTCACCACGCTCTGTAGTCAGTGGTCATGGTAACATTCATGAAGCGGTTTTCAGATTGCAGACCAGTTAGTCAGCTGTCCACCCCTCAGTCCAGTGTGCCTGGTGCTTCCTTATCAGCCTCGGGCGTGGGAGAATGCCACTGAAGAAATGGTTTCTCGCATCCTACCAAGTATTCCAGTTACTGGGGGGTGGGAGGTGGTATTTGGGTAAGGTATGGTCTATCTCCAGTCTAACATTCCCCCTGGCCCCTGCTGGCCAGTACCGTGTAATAGACCGGATCTTCACTCGCCCTACTCAGCTTCTACTGAGCCGAGTACTGTCTGCCAGATTGTGTCTTTCCTTCTTGTGTGCTCACTGGCATCCCATGGGCAGGCCGGGCTTTCCTCCACTTTCTATCCGCATCATCGTAGCCTTGGTTTTGTTTTGTGGGGTACTGGGGACTGAGCCAAGACAAATTGGCCTTTTGTCACTACCACACCCCACTTACAGATCCCCATTTTATTCGATGAGGTGGTAATTTGTTACTAACATTACTTTTCTTTCTAAGA